GGGGTCGTAGCTGGGGTCGGGCCCGGGGTGGGGGTGTGTGGGACCGGACCCAGTCTGTCTGTCCCCATTTGCTCACTCGCCTTAATGCAGGACTTAAGAGTCCAGGACAAATGAGAAGAATCATCTTTGGTGAAATTAGCGTCCTTTTTAGGTTTAATACATAGTTTACAAAACGAATATGAATTTTGTTAGCCACTGGGTAGTTATTAACGTTAAAGTATAAGTTTGATTGCTTATATACGCATATAGGTTACATGTTTTGTATTTATATTTGCTTTACTTGCAAGAAAATTGTCCACTAGGGCTGGGAAGGTGGCTCAAGTGGTAGAGCGCTAGCCTTGAGCTGAAGAGCTGAGGGACAGTGCCCAGGCCCAGAGTTCAGGCCCCATGACCGGACCCCCAAAAAAATAAGATTAAAAAAAAGAAAATTGTCCACTAATGATATTACTCTTCTTTTCCCCCATGTAGAAATGGAATTTCCCTCTTCTTTGACTAGTACTGAAAGAGCCTTTATTCATCGGTTGAGTCAGTCTCTTGGTTTGGTCTCTAAGAGTAAAGGGTAAGCTGATATCTCTAGTTATTTTAAAAATAATTTTTCTTTATTTTGTTTTAGAGATTGTCTGCCTGTATGGCACATGCTGGAGCTTACAATCTGCCGGCTCCAGCCTGCTGGTGCATTACAGGTGTGCACCACCACACTCATCCTCAAGGGAAGATGCATTTACCAAGAGAAGGATACATGTGACTTAGTACATTTAGTTATTCCCCATTTAGCTCTGCATTTTAAATTACAGTGTGTATAGATAAACTCAGGTCTTTACCAAGGCCTGAGTTATTTCTTTTTTCTTTTCACCTCTTTCTAGGGAAGGGGAGAAGGAAGTACAGTTTCCTTTTTGAAACTTTGACTCTGATACAAGACAGATTAACGAGAGGAAAATGTTTGTAAAAGGTGCATTGCATATAAGCCGAGGGAGGCCAGTGAAGATGAATTCAACCTTGTTTTATAGAGCATCTACTCTTGAAAAACATAAAGGCCATGGAGCTTGTAATTGCTTAGTTACACTGCTAGAAGATAAAGGTGGTTTTAACAAGTTTTGCCTTGCTGGCTTCTCTGGTTCCCTGAGGGTTTATCTAGCAGATGTCTCTGTGACTAAGCATCAGCCTGCTGTTTTGGCCTGGAGCGGAAGGATGAGAGCTCTTTCTCTGTCTGCTTTTTCACATTTTTCTTTAGTTCAAAATAGCTCTAATGGGAAGAGTACACATCTTGGAGGCATTCTCTGAACCCCTTCAAGGTGAGATTTTAAGATGTGAGGAAAAGATAGTTTAAAAGTTGAAGTTGATTGAGCACATTATTTTTGTTTTTGATCAAAACATGTCTTCGAAGAGTGGATTACAAGGTAATAAGGTCTTGCATATGAATGCCTATTGTTTTTTTTTTTTTTGGTCCGTTGTGGGGCCTGAACTCTGGGCCTGGGCTCTGTCCCTCAGCTCTTCAGCTCAAGGCTAGCACTCTACCGCTTGAGCCACAGCACCACTTGTGGCTTTTTTCTTTTTGCTTATGTGGTGCTGAGGAATCGAACCCAGGGCCTCAGGCATGCAAGGCAAGCTCTCTACCACTGAGCCACCTTCCCAGCTCCATGAATGCCTATTATACTGGCTGAAACTGGACTTTAGCATAGATGCCTGTCACCTAGGTAAATCCTAAAAGAGCAATTAGGTTCCTAACTAGGTTCAACATAAAGACTTAATAACCTCATGTTAATTTAATCAGGTTTTGTTGCCCATGGAGTTGCTGCAAACTTATAAAAAAAAATAACTTCCGAGCCAGGTGCTGGTGGTGACTCAAATCTGTAATCTTAGCTACTCAGGAAGCTGAGATCTGAGGAGCACCGTTCCAAGCCAGCCCAGGGAAGGAACGTCTGTGAGACTTAAAAAAAAAATGAGAAATGGAGCTGTGACTCAAAGTGGTAGAACACTAGCCTTGAGAGAAAAAGCTTAGGGACAGCACCCAGGCCCTAAGTTCAAGCCCCATAACCAACACCAAAAAATAAAAACAATTTCCAGTTTTCAGAGCTGTTTGAATTTCAGTTGCTGATAAGAAGTTTGGGGCTTGCGTTAGAAAACAAGCTTCTATGTAGTTAGGTCATTTCTATGGCTAAGTGATAGTTTTAAATTCTAAATAGCACTGTTTATGATGGCTAGCAATTATTCATAAAAAAGCACCCTGTTTGTACAGACTACCTGTATTTCTATTCAATAGCATGGTCATTTGAAAGGTGATCCAGAATGGAGAAACATCTGAGAAAGGAGAGAGAGAGAGAAAAGGTACCAGGACAAGAAAGGCAACTGAAGAACCCTTTTATTTCAATACAGTATCTCAACATGTAGCCCAAAGTGGTCTGAAACTTGCCATTTGCCTGTCTCAGCCTCCTGAGTGCTAGGACTGTGGAGAGAGAGAGAGAGACAGAGAGAGAAAGAGAGAGAGAGAAAGAGAGAGAGTGTGTGTGTGTGTGTGTATTTACAGTTCTAAGAATTGAATCCAGGGCCTCATCTACACTAAGTAAACACTCTTAACAGCTCAGGGAATGAGTTAACACTGAAGAGCAGGAGGTGAGGTAGAAGGAAGGAAATACTGAGGGAAACAGTGTCACTTGTTTACTCAGTTCCTCATGCCTAAAATCTTCAGGCAGAGACTTCTTAGATTTCTTAGTTCATTCCTTTTCATTTTGAGCAAACTTTGTACAGTGTTTATTTAGTAGCCATTGATTTTTCAAATGCTTTGTTTTTGCAGAAAGCTAACTTTGAATTTACTTTTTTGGTCAGATGTGGGGCTTGAACTTGGGACTTGGGTACTATTCCTGAGAGTTTTTGCTCATTGCCAGCGCTCTACCATTTTGAGCAACAGCACCACTTCCAGTTTTTTGGTGGTTATTTGGAGATAAGAGTCTCAAGGACTTTCCTGCCCAAGCTGGCTTTGGACAGTAATATTTGACCTCCTGAGTTGCGTGAGCCACAGGCGCCTTGTGAATTATTTATATTTATGTTAGGTAATGTAATCTGTGTTAGGAAGCATTCATTTTAACACATTATTTTGATATGTTATTGAGGAAGGAGTGTGTTTTACTCAGTTTTCTAATTCTAGTTTCTTCTGTAGTGTCTGGCGTATCTTAGGTGCTCAATTACTACACTGCATATCATTGAATGAAAGAAAATTAGCTAAAGGTGTAATATGGCAAAACCTTCTGTAGCTGGTAGATACATTGGAAAGGTACAGGATTTTTTTAAACCAGGGTGTAGTATTATAGAATTTAAAATATTTTTATCATGTAACCAGGTAGTTGAGAAATTATTAGTAGATGAACACTAGCCTCCTGAATTAGGCTACATCCAGCACTTACTTCAACATACTTCATATCTCTTGCAGTTCACATTTTTTGAACAACACATGAAGGGATGAATAATTGACTGTAATGCATAGTTTCAGAACTTGCAGAGAGGTCTCTGGGAAAAGCATGTTCGAAAACAGTTGATTTTCTTATGGAAGTAACTGAAATTTTTAGGTTAAAATTTATAGTGTGCGTGTACAAGTGTGTATGTGTATGTGTAAATGTACGTCTGTGTGTGCTAGTATGCTTCTCTACCGCTTGACTCACACAGTTCTAAAATTTAATAAAAAAATTGTTTTAAAATCATCATTAAGCACTCAAGGAGTACCTGATCACAGAAAACTTGCACTTTATTATAAAGTAGTATTCAGTAAGAGATTTCTGGAAAATAAAAAACTTGGTAAAATGAAAGCCTCACCTGGAAGTATCATTAATCAAAATGGTGTAGGTTAATCTGTAGTTTAATATTCTAAGAGAAGACGAAATTGTTGGCAAAAATTTATATTAATGAAAACCAAGGAAATGATAAAGTACATGTAATTTTTATGGCATTTGTATTTCTGTTGCTCATTCTGTAATAAGATAGTGCCATTCACAAATGGTAAATGTTTTTAAAACTTTTAAGAATGACTTTTTTCCTTGATTATAATTACAAGCTTTTTCCTGTTTATAGCACACTCTTGCAGTCCTTGCAGTCCATTCAGTCTTAACCATGTGAATAATCACTTGAGCTAGGTGGCTCTGAGCTATGAGTTTGTTTATAGTCCCATGTTACTAAGCATTAGGCCTGGGATTCATACCCAGGCCTGTGTGCCTTCAGAGCAGGAGCTCCTAATCACTGTCCTTTTGCCTTATCCACATCCCATTTGGGGACTTCACTGTGTAATATTTTCCCTAATACTCTTAGAGCTACAGAAGTACTAAGAGGAACTGTCAGTTGAAGATTAGTTGAAGAAACAGAATTCCAGGAAATAACGTTCTTGAACAGTGTTAGATCATCATTACCTTATAATTGAAGGATAGAGCCAGAAGCTGTGAACATTGTATTTTATTAAAATAATGTGTATTGAGGGGCTGGGAAGGTGGCTCAGTGGTAGAGCGCTTGCCTTGTGTGCATGAGGCCTTACGTTCGATTCCTCAGCACCACATAAGCAGAAAGAAAAAAGCTGGAAGTAGCACTGTGGTTCAAGTGGTAGAGTGCTAGCCTTGAGCTGAAGAGCTGAGAGCACCCAGGCCCAGAGTTCAGGCCTCACAACTGGAACCCCCCCCCCAAAAAAAAATGTGTATTGATATAGTTAGCATTTCTTCTGTGTTACTCATTTCTCTCAACAGGTTTTCATGGGAGCAGGTCATTTCCCACATACTGGAAGCGTTCAGTGGGACATAGTCATTTGAACTGTCAGCCACAGATTTCATTATCATTTTTAGGTTCTTTTGTTCAAATTTTTCCCTCTCTGTGCTTCCTAGCATATGTTAACTGGTGATGTTTCATCTAAATGTTTACCCTTTGTGAATGGCATTATCATATTATAGAAATGAGCAACAAATACAAATGCCATAAAAATTACATGTACTTTATAATTTCCCTGATTTTCATTAGGTTTAAATTTTTGTCAACAATAGGTACTTAACACTTGTGGGTAAGTGTTTTTTTTGTTTTTTGTTTTGTAGCATTTTCAAATTTCAATTGAAAATAATCTTGTGGCCACTTGAACTCCAAATTTGTCCTTACTTAGCTCTTTGGGATTTCTCAAGCCATTTTGATCTTTCTTTCCCATTGTTTTGCTTGAGACATAATTTCTAAGTAGGTATATGTCTATGTGAATGAGTTGACTGTAGTAAATAAATGGTTTTTATTAATATTTAGAAAGGGAGCAAATAGATACCTAACTGTGAAGAAGAAAGACGGATCAGAAACAGCTCATGCAGTGATGACCTGTAATTTGACTCATAACACAAAACACGCTGTTAGGAGCTTAATTCAGAGATTTCCTGTCACCAATAAAGAGCGTACTGAACTTCTGCCTAAAACAGAAAGAGGAAATGTGTTTGCAGTTGAAGCTGGTATGTATGCCCTGGGAGTTACCTTATTTTGTATTTGATGACTTTTCCATTTTAGATGTTAAAAACTAAAAGTTTTTATAGTTTGTTAGAAATAACTAAGGTGGTGAAAAGTATGAAACAAAATGCAGAGTTAAGGCATGTCATGGAGTTGAGCCAAGTTTACTCTTAAGTGTCGTTATAGAATTAGCTATTAGCTAGGGGACATGCTGACCTCTGTAAAGGGCCTCATAGCAACCTTTGCAAGCTCAGAACTTCCTAAATTTCAAAGATGATGAAACTGTAGCTCAAAGGAGTTAAATATTTAAGGTCACTCAACCAGCCAGTGAACTTCAGAGCTGGGATTGATCCAAAGTCTAGGCTTCCTGAAATTATGCTGCTGCGATGCCATAGTGACCCGGAGTTTGATGGGGAGGCTTAGCTTCTGCTAAGGGATGGGGCAGAATTGTCAGTGCATTAAATTTCTCAGATTTATAGTTTTAAAAAGAAGTTATTTGGAAGAATTCCAAGTGAGAAAGTTTATCCTATTGAAATGGTAGTCATAAATTCATTGATGGTCACTGCTCCAGCATCTGTGTCGTGTAGCAAATACATGGTGAAGAGAATGAATTTGTTTTGTCTAGTTTTTATTTTTATTTTTTAACTTGTATTTATTTGGTGGTGCTAAGGATTGAACTCAGGGTCATATGCATGCAAGGCTGGTGCTTTATCACCTAGCTACATCCTCCCGCTCTGAAGAGCTTGTTCTAAATACAAGCATAGAAAAACATTCTGATTTGTCTAGAGAATTAAAAAAAAAATAAAAACCACCAAAAACTTCTTCCTGCCTGCTTAGTTAAATGTGGCTAAAATGCTCAATTAGGAAATTCACTAAGCATTACAACCTTGTATTTACACATATTATTCTGTTATTCTGTTTAATCATTTAATCATGATGTGTAACCTTAGTTAACTTTTTTAATGCTGTTTCACATTGTATGTAATGTATTTTAAGTATGATGAACATTATTTACTATTTCAAAGTTTTAATTTTTTGTGAGTGAGAGAAACTTAGAGCAAATCTGAAAAATGATTTAGATTGTCAACACTTTTCTTTTTAATGGTTATTGAATTATTAACTTTTGTTCGCTATGCATAAGGAATATGCTTGAGGTGTTTGCTTTGTATTCAATCCTAGTGACATTTGTAGTGCATGCTGTGGTGCACAGTGGGTAGGAGAAGTTTGCTAACTGTAGACTGGATTACATAGAAGCTACTTACCTTTGTTCTCAGCACTTCTTTTTCACTGTGAATCATGAATATTTTCTTTTTTATTCCTTTTCAAAGAAAACAGAGAAATGAGCAAGACGAGCGGGCGACTCAACAATGGCATACCTCAAGTTCCAGTAAAAAGAGGAGAATCAGAATTTGATGCATTCAGGCAGTCTTTGCCAGTGTTTGAGAAACAAGAAGAGATTGTTAACATAATTAAGGAAAATAAAGTCGTTTTGATTGTAGGAGAAACTGGGTCAGGAAAGACCACACAGGTTTGTTCTTGGTTGTTTTCAAGAAGAAAATTTGTCCCATCTTGTAGTTTTACACCAATGTTATGCTACACATGTTTTTTGGTTTGTCATTCATGGGGCTTGAACTCTGGGCTTGGGTGCTGTCCCTCAGCTCTTTAGCTCAAGGCGAGCGCTCTACCGCTTGAGCTACAGTGCCACTTCCAGTTTTCTGGTGGTTTATTGGAGACAAGAGTCTCACAGTCTTTCCTGCCCCGGTCGGGCTTTGAACCATGATCCTCAGATCTCAGCCTCCTGAGTAGCTAGGATTATAGGCGTAAGCCACCAGCGCCTGGCTATGACATGTGTTTAAAAAATTTCTGGTTATTCTACTGGTTATTTCAGAAATAAATTATTATTAGAAGTATATTTAAAGAATCTGTAGAAAGGAACTGTTTTTAAATTATCTTATTTTTTTTGTCAGTTGTGGGGCCTGGACGCTGTCCCTCAGCTCTTCAGCTCAAGGCTAGCGCTCTACCACTTGAGCCACAGCACCACTTCCGGCTTTTTCTGCTTAGGTGGTGCTGGGGAATTGAACCCAGGGCCTTATGCATGCAAGGCAAACACTCTGCCACTGAGCCACCTTCCCAGCCCATTAATTATTTGTTTTTTAATTGGCACATTTGTACTTCAGTGAGACAGAGGGGCAGGTGCCCTTTGTAAGTCCTTTGGTGTCAAGGGAGGCATTTGGGAGCCTTGCATCCAAATTCCAGTTTCCCGACACTGATGACTGAAGGTTTAAGGGGATTTGTAACTGAGCCAGAGTTTGAGTCTCTTGTAGATTCAGTGCCTCCCATAGTGTAGTAATGAGCACCTGACGTTAAGACTCACTCAAATACTGAAAGTTAACCAAATTCTAATATGCAATAAAAAATTTAAAAATCGCAGCATTTTGCTTTTAATATTAAGAAATTAAGTAATACTTGCATTTCATTATATAAAACATCATGGAACATATATAGGAAGGGAGAAATGGAGTTAGTATTCTGTTAATTCTCTTCCTGAATTATTGTTAGAAACCTGCAATATGTTTTTTAGTTGTTGAGGGACAAAGTGTGTGTATTGTTGTGTTCTCTTTTCAGCAAGAGAACACAGGCACACATATGTGCATCTGGTAATAAACATAGATAATGACATTTGCTTTTATTTTTTCATCTAGCCAAAATTAGATATTTTTCTATGCCGGTATTTAGAGGCTTACCTCATCTTAAAAATAGCTGCATGTTTACCCAAACATAATGATAAAAAGTGACAGTTTTACTATGCGTTAAGTTTTACAAGGGCTGTATTATTCCAGCCTCTTCATAACCTCAAAACAAGTAGGTTTTTATCCTCTCTTTTTACAGATAAGGAATAAGAACTGAAGTGTCCAGATGTTACCTGCCCTGGTGCAGAGTAGGAACTTTACTCTCCTTGTTTCCTACCATTTATTTGCTTTTCTGGGAGGATAAATTTCTAGAAGTGCAGATGCCATGTTAAGGATATTGTAGTTAGTAATATATTAAAACACTATTAAATGTTCCTGTGTCTCTTAAGACTTGAGCAAGATGGGCATTGTGCTCATAGCAACTTTTGCAAGCTAAGAACTTCCTGTATTTCAAACAAGAAGAAACTAGCTCAGAGGAGTTAAAACATACACACCACACGCCACACACACATACACATACACACACATTCACAATCTTCCTGCCTCAGCTTCGCTAATGCTGGGAGTACAGGTGTGTGCTATACTATGCCTGGTGTGTGTTTCCTATTTATATCCTTTTTTTTTGTTTTAATAATTTTGAATTAATTTTTTAGAATACTTTGTTTTGCATCTATGTCTATTGTCTATTAATTTTTTTTTTTTTTGTCGGTCATGGGGCTTGAACTCTGGGCCTGGGCTCTGTCCCTCAGCTCTTCAGCCCAAGGCGAGCGCTCTACCACTTGAGCTACAGCGCCACTTCCGGTTTTCTGGTGTTTTATTGGAGATAGGAGTCTCACGGTCTCTCCTGCCGGGGCTGGCTTTGAACCTCGGTCCTCAGATCTCAGCCTCCTGAGTAGTTAGGATTACAGGCGTGAGCCACCAGCGCCCGGCTTAGAAATTATTTTTAAATATTTTGAGGATCGCGGTTCAAAGCCAGCCCGGGCAGGAGAGACCGTGAGACTCCTATCTCCAGTAAACCACCAGAAAACTGGAAGTGGCGCTGTGGCTCAAGTGGTAGAGCACTCGCCTTGAGCTGAAGAGCTGAGGGACAGCGCCTAGGCCCAGAGTTCAAGCCCCACGACTGACAAAAAAAAATAATAATAATTTCTAATCTTTAAAATTTTTCTTATGGTATTTTGTTTAGTAGTTTAACATTCTTATTTAGTCATTTTTTTAAGGTTTTTAAAGTTTTTTTTAAGGTTTTTGGGAAGGAGAGCATTTTCTACTTGAACACTAAAAGTAATGTTTTCCTATAAATATTCTATTCTAATACTTTTATTTAAAACATTTCTTAGGAATTTCATTGTATTCATATCAAGTAGAAATCTTTATTTTTTGTCAGTATTTGTTGAAATACATCTTTTATGTAAAAACCCTTTGCCCGCTGATTTAGTATTCCATTTGTGATGTTTTTATTACACCTGGGTCTGTTTTTGGAGTTTTTGTTCATGTCCTCTTTAAGCTCATCCTTTCTGCTAGCTCCAGGATGCCACTTGTTACTCAATGTAGCTTACGGTGTGTAGGATAATACTCTTCATTATTTTTTACTTTTTCCAGCAGACACAGGGTTTGCAGTACACATCTGTTCTATCTACCTTCAGCTATCACCACCACTCCACCGGTGGTGAGAGTTTATTACATAATAGCACCCTTACAGATCCTTCCCCCGTGTCCCTGCATGCAGGGACATGATGTCATGACTTACAGCCATGCACACATAGGATACATACGTAATCATATGTCACTATTCTGAGCAAGCTTACATCTTAGGTCAATTGAGGAAAAGAAAAATAAATTTTTACATTAATCTATTCCTTGTTCTATGTTTCTTCTGAAGATCAGAGTTTCTGACCTATTTTATTTTCCTGCAATGCATATATATGTTTTTTAAAATTTCTTTTTATTATAAAGATACCATACAGAGGGGTTCTGCAAGGTATATTTACTGGCAACAAATTTCCTCAATTTTTGTTTATTTGAGAACTTTTTTGGTTCTAACAGTTTCTCAGTTGATTCATTTGGATTTCTCTGGCAATGAAAAAAATGCATGGCATTTCGTAATATTTTAAAATTTTCATTTCAGATTCCTCAGTTCCTCTTAGATGACTGCTTTAAAAATGGAATCCCCTGCCGCATATTTTGTACACAGCCAAGACGATTAGCAGCCATTGCTGTGGCTGAAAGAGTTGCTGCTGAGAGAAGGGAAAGAATTGGTCAAACAATTGGTTATCAGATCCGATTAGAAAGCAGGTAAAGGCAGTCCTCCTCCTCATGCTCAGAAAAGACTTCAGTATGTACATGTCATTAAAAACTAAGGATATGTTACTTGAAAAAGGAAAAAAAAGATTTTGTACTGGTCCTAGGACTGGACTCAAGGCTAGCACTTGACCCACAGCTCCCCTTCTGCATCTTTTGATGTTTAATTGGAGATGGGGTCTCACAGACTTTCCTGCCCAGTCTGGCTTCACACTGTGATCCTCAGTGGTCAGCCTCCTGAGTTGCTAGGAATACATGAGTGCCCAGCATGTTAGTTGAAAATTAAATGATCACTTTGTACCAGGATGTTGACATCATGTCTGAACTTGGTGAGGTATTGAATAGTTTGAAAAACTGTTTGGACCAGATGTGCAAACCCCATTTCATAGTGTGATCATGTGTACAAGTTTTTTCACCTTGCTGAGACTCCGTTTCCCCTGCAAAATGAAGCTAATTCGGCACCTAGAACATGGGTTTGGTGTTAATGCGTATAGTAAGAACTCAAATGTTTGTGACTGGATTTTAACGTCATTGATCCAGATTGAATATTGTCCCTTTATCACCAGTAGTGCATCCGATTTTAGAGGTGTTCAGAAATTGGGATACTTGTATCAACTGTACCGATTAAGCATCTATAATCAGAAACGTACTGAAACCCAACACTTCCTGAATAATTTAGATTTGAGGCCTTCTGCTTAAGAATGCTCAGCCTCCAGTAGGACACAGGGCACCTCTTGACAAATACTATTTATTTGTCTTCATTAGTGATTCTGAAAGTTGGTTTAGTTTGTGATGCATTCTTTTCCCCAAGTAAGAAGTACTTAAGGTTGTTTTTCAACCTGAGTTCTTTTTTCAAATGTGTATATTACTTAGTTAATAAGACAGTTACTCATAACGAAGTTGTGAGATTACCATGTAGAAACTGTGTCCTTCATATAACTTTCCTAATAAGCCATCACACCATTACTAATATTTATTAAACTGCACCTAAGACCAGCAGATAAAGCAGTTTTTAATCTCCTAGAAGATTGGTAATTGTGCACTGTGTTTGTTGTCTTACAAAGGGTTTCTCCAAAGACACTGCTGACATTTTGCACAAATGGGGTGCTGCTTCGCACATTGATGGCCGGGGACAGTACCTTGTCAACAGTGACCCATGTGATTGTGGTAAGAGTGCTCCTGAGTTTGCCACAGGCTGCTCACATTGTTGAAGTTAAATCCTTAATTGCATTTTAGAATAGGGTCAAAATGAGAAGTAATTCATTGTTCTGGACAGCCTATTCTCATCAACTTATTTTTTGTCTGTAACTACTAGAAATAAATATTTTGTATTAAATATTCTTCAAGTTTTATGGGGAAAAAATAAGACATGGGAAAAATATCCATTTTATATGTAGAAGGTTCTATTTTTTTCCATCTCTAAAGGTACTCAGTCTTTCCTTTAATATGTATTTTCCTTATATGGTAAGTTGGCTAAATTAGCTCTTGATTAAATAAGATTATGAATGTTGATGAATAAGATAAAATTATATAAGCTTTTAATAAGCACATGTTGGAAACTTAAGCCAGAAGATGCACTTGACTTCCGATGCTAACAGAAGTATGTACACACACACACACATACACACACACACACACTTTTTTTGGGGGGGGGGGTCCGGTCGTGGGGCCTGAACTCTGGGCCTGGGTGCTGTCTCTCAGCTCTTCAGCTCAAGGCTAGCGCTCTACCACTTGAGCCACAATGCCACTTCTAGCTTTTTTCTTTTTGCTTATGTGGTGCTGAGGAATCGAACCCAGGGCCTCAGGCATGCAAGACAAGCGCTCTACCACTGAGCCACCTTCCCAGCCCCATATTTTTTTTGTTTTTGAGATGAGCTTGTAATAGGTTTCCTGGTCTGGTCTCAAACTGGTGATCCTGCTGCCTCAGCCTCCCAAGTAGCTTGTACTTGCCCAGTATATGTGTCTTTAAATTAGTTTTGTTTATAATGAAGCTATATTAAGCTCTACTTGTTTAGAATTTGTTCTAGCTCATGTAGTTTTACATGCTATAGGAAAGACAGAACTTTGTTTTGCATATTTGTTAATGCTTGATTCTGACTTGTCTATCATACAGTATCTTCCCTAACACCAGTTAACTTTGTCCACATTTAATTTGAACTTGTGTAAGTCTAGCATACCGTTACTTTAAAGATTTGTCATTCATAACTTTTAACTGTTGCATGGTTTTATTTGATTCAGGATGAAGTGCATGAACGGGATCGATTTAGTGATTTTTTACTTACAAAGTTAAGAGATTTGTTGCAAAAGCACCCGACTTTGAAACTGATTCTTTCTAGTGCTGCCTTGGATGTAAATCTCTTTATAAGATATTTTGGAAGTTGTCCAGTGATATATAGTAAGTAGAATGATCAGATCTCTTTACTTTTTATGAAGTAAACTTTGGCATGTCTTACTTTTTTCTAGCAGAAGTTGGGGAGTGTTTTGAACTAGAGGGCATCTCTTTTCGTCCTGTGAGATAAGGATACAGTTAGTTCTCTCTGCTTTCCACCTCTCCTTTCCCACCAGAGCCCTTTGGTGTAGTGTGGTAAATTCAGTTCTCTAATCTTAAAAAGAAATACATTTTATTTTAATCTGGGGTCCTCTTTAGATTCTGTCTTCCAACTTCTTCCCTTTAATGTGAGGTCCTTTTGAAAAATAGAGCATATTTCCATGTTTGCTCTCAATTACTTCTGAGTATTCTGTCATTTAATATTTGCTCTGTCACTTTAATAGAACCAGATTTTGCCTCTAATCCTTAAAAAAATTATTTAAAAATTATACAAGTTGTATACATTTTAATGAAATAGTAATGAGAATTTATAGAGAAAAACTTCAAGTGGTGTTTATCCTCTTTCTGTTCCATGCCCTATCTTCCTGGTGCTATGATTTTAAAAGCATGGTAGATTTCCTTTCTTAGTTGACCATGTCATGTAAATGTATGCAAATATATCTATACATATTTACAAAAAACGGTGTATAAAACTGAGCATAGCTAGTCACTGGTGGCTTACACCTGTAATTCCACTTACTTAGGAGCTGAGATCTGAGGATCATGATCGTAAGCCACTTCAGGCAGGAAAATCGGTGAGACTCCTATTGCCAGTTATCCACTAAAAAGCCAGAAGTGGAAGTGGAGCGATAGCCTTGAGCGAAAATGCTCAAAGATACTGCCCAGGCCCTGAGTTCAAGCCCTAGGACCAGCACACACTCATTCACAAAAACAAAACCCTGAGTGTATACTTATTGTTTGATTTACTTACATGACAATAAGTTATAAACAGTTTATTGGTTCAGTAAGATCTAGTTCCTTATTTTAAGCTGTTGTCTGGTTATTATAATCTATGTATATACCAAGACTTATTTAATATTTCCTTTTATTTTGAGATACTCTGATTGGTTTTAGATTCTCCCTTCCCCCTCCTATAAATGATGATTAAAAAAAATATCTTTTTTTAAATTTATTTTTAATTTTTAATTTTTTGGTCAATTGTGGGGCTTTGAACTCTGGGCATGGATGCTGTCCCTCAGTCCTTCAGCTCAGGATGAACCCTCTACCACTTGAGCCACAGAGCCACTTCCGGTTTTCTGGTAGTTTATTGGAGATGAGAGTCTCACGGTCTTTGCTGCTTGGGGTGGCTTTGAACCACCATCCTCAGATCTCAGCCTCCTGAGTAGCAGGGGTGACAGGTATGAGCCACTGGCGCCCGGCTTAAGAATATCTTGAATGTATATCCTTGTATGTATATCCTTGTATACTCTTATATCTAGTAGAGTCCTGAAAGTGAAATTGCTCAGTAAAAGAACAGATGAGTTTGAGTTACTTAGTGATTTTCTTTTTGATGTGTGTGCAATGATAATAAGACCTTGAGCTTGCTATGCAGATGTTCTCTGTTTAAGCCATGCCCCCAGTCCTGATTTTTTCTTGTAGCTTTGGCCATTTTCCTTTTTTCAAAAAACTGAAATGCTTTCCATTTTTGAGCTGTGTCTGGGACGTTTACTTGTGCAATCTTCTGAGAATTACTTTGATTCAGATCTAATTGCCATACTCCATATTTTAATTTCAGACAAAAATCTTACTTCAGTGTTGAGTGTTATTTTGCCCCTTTGGTGAAATGCTCAGAGCCACAGTTCATTTGGCACTGCAACTTGCATATCTTACTCTGCACTGTAGAATCACCACATCTTTCTTCCTTCTCTCTCTTTTGTAGTATTTAAATGTTGGTATTGTCCTGAGTTTTTCCCTTGATCCATTTCCTTTTCTTTCTCCATTCCTTCTCCCTTCTTAGTTTTTCACCCCCTCTATCTTCCCTTCTCTGTGTTGCACTCTGTTAGTTACTGGAATTGCAGTCAGTTTGCTTGGAGACTTCTTCATGCCCTTGGCTTCTTTCTTTGGTGTGCTGAAGATGGTTCTCCAGAGCTTTGGATTTAGGTAACTTATAGACACGAAATGCCTTGAGACATACTCCAAACCTAATACCTGGTTTCCTCCTTGAGTTGCTTGTCTTAGTTAATTCTACTGCTGTTGGCCTAGTCACTGGGGCAAACCTATACATGCTCTGTATAGTTGCTTAAGCAGTTACAATCGGCACCTTGAAAGTCTATGCCAATTCAGAGCTACTTTTGGTTCCTCATGTTTGAGATGCATAAAACCAAACACAGCTCCCACTAGCTGACATGTGTCTCCTACTAGCCTTCCTGGCTCCCTCAGGGTAGCCCCGTTAGGGATTTGTAAGCCAGATGGCAAGTATTTCAGCCAACACCTCCGTCAGCATTCTTTCCTACTGGTGCTTTTCTGAATTCTTTGTATTTCACTTCCTTTTTCAAGAACCTATTTCGTTTTTACTCTAGTCTGATTTAAGTAGTTGGCTTCTACTACCTGGATTATCACAAGAGTTCCTACCTCATTCCATTCCATTCTGCTGACCTTTAAATCCATTTTCCACAATGCAGCCAGAGAGATCTTTTCTGAAGTAGAATTCTGATAATGTTGAGAACTTTGTTAAGTTTAAATCTTTGAATGTCCTTTTACCTTTTTTTTTTTAATTTTTTTTTTTTTTTTGGGTCCGGTCATGGGGCCTGAACTCTGGGCCTGGGCTCTGTCCCTCAGCTCTTCAGCTCAAGGCTAGCGCTCTACCACTTGAGCCACAGCGCCACTTCTGGCTTTTTTCTTTTTGCTTATGTGGTGCTGAGGAATCGAACCCAGGGCCTCGAGCATGCAAGGCAAGTGCTCTACCACTGAGCCACCTTCCCAGCCCGAATGTCCTTTTATCTAGGACAATGACCTAAGCTTTGAATAATTCTGGACTTCTTAATTTTTTTTATTATTATAAAGGTGATGTACAGAGGGGCTGTAGTTATGTAAGTCAGGTAAAGAGTACATTTCTTTTTGGACAATGCACCCTTCCCTCACTCCCAGTTTTTTTTCCCCATCCCCACATACAAATTGTATAATTCATTTTCAACGTAGTGTCTAGTGAGTACCATTGCTGCATTTGTTCACCCTTTCTTCTGGACTCCTCTTGAATTTTTGATTTCCTCTCCACTTCCTTTTTCCAAGTGGGTTAGCCAGCTTTTTAGCCCCTTGACCACATACTTTTTCCCACTATAGGGTCTGCATATGCTGGGTTTTCTTCCCTGCATATACTTTTCTGTAGAGCCAGTTGTTTAGTTTACTCCTTCTCTTGTTCCTCAGTTCCTACTTGAGGATATATTCTGTCCTGGTGTCTTGCATTTCTCTCTCATAAGACTGTTTTATAAGACTTTTTTATAGCTCTGTTTTTGTACTTTGTGTAATTGGTTTCCTGTCTGTCTCCCATGTTAATGTGCCTCAAAGAGATGGAGGTAGAGCTTTCTGCTTGGCGTTTATGTTCCTTCTGCCTGATGTGATGACAGACACATGATAAGCAGATGATATACATACATATCTCTTAGAGATAGGTGTCTAGAAATGAATTCTTTATGAAGGACCATATGAGAGTCACTTGAACTTTCAGATTGCTTTTGCTTTTGGATATTATACTCAGTTTGTTAGACTTGGAATTCTCATATTTTTTGGATCGATTATCTGTATAATGCAAATTGATAGTGTTTTAAAATTTGTTTAGTACAAGGAAGACCATTTGAAGTAAAAGAAATGTTTCTGGAAGATATTCTAAAAACGACTGGATATACCAACAAAGAAATGTTAAAGTACAAAAAAGAAAAACAGCGAGGTAAGCTTTTTATCAAAGAAATATAAATTACTGTCAAAATGACTTTTTAAAATAAGTTTTATGTTAATGGGCACATAAAAGGATACTTTAAAATGTTTTTCTCTTGCATGTAATTGTATAAAACTATGTTAAACTATGCCCCTCTGCCTCATTGGATGCTGGTTTGTGTCCAGAAGTTGTAATCTGGAGAATGAGATTGAAAGTGGATCCCAGAATTGATGAGATAGAGTGTCTGAAGCCAGGCCTCACTTCGGTTTAAGAAATCACTACTTGTAGGTGGCCATGGGAAGTGTGCAACGGGGTTAAGAATGGTGTCAGGGAAGCTGGTGGCACCCACTCAGCATGCCAGCGGCATAGGAAATGTCAGTGGGGGAGTGGCGGTCAAGGCTGTCCTTACTGGAAAAAATAATGAGAGAAAAAGGGAATGATGGTGTGACTAAAGTGGTGGACCTCCTGCCTAGCAAGAATGAGGCTCTGAGTTAAAAAAAAAAAGGTAGCACTGGGAAGGTGGCTCAGTGGTCGAGGGCTTGCCTTGCATGCATGAGGCCCTCGGTTTGATTCCTCAGCACCACATAAGCAGAAAAAGCTGGAAGTGGGGCTGAGGCTCAAGTGGTAGAGCACTAGTCTACAGCTGAAAAGCTGAGGGACAGCACCCAGGCTCAGAGTTCAGGCCCACGACCAACCTCCCCCCCCAAAAAAAAGAAACCACAAAAAAAAGTAGCCTGTGAGCAATATATTTTTCCAACTCTTAATATTGTCATAGGATTGCATTGATACTTGAGTTTGACATTATTTGCCAATGAAAACAACTGTTATTATGACTGACACGATAGCCCTTTTCTTTTCCACTGGACTTGGCTTCAGACTTTAATTCCTCTGTTTGCTTTATCACCTTGGACAGCTGTTCCTTTGGATTCTCCACTTGGAAATGTGATGAACAATGCTCATTTTACTGGGTGTGCAGAATTGGCTATTTGGAAATTGTGAAACTTGTCGATCTGGAAACTTTTGCAATATTTACAGTGTATATCAAATAACTTGCATGGTGACTGAAGTCTCATGAATAGTTTTCTAAAAATACTATGTGACAATAAGTCATTGATTTAATTGTGACATATAATATGGAGAAAAATACTCTTAATTCTGGGCTTAGAAGGAAACCAGTTAAGAATAAATATATGTTTTTAGGCAGTTTCAGGAGGTTCATTATAACAAATGTATTGAAATACTCTTTATATATACATACATATATATATATATATATATATATATATTTTTTTTTTTTTTTTTTTTCCCCTGTTAATTTTTTGACAGCACTGGAGTTTGAGCTCAGGGCCTTATGCTTCTTAGGCAAGCACTCTACTATTCGAACCACACCCCCAGCCCTGTCAACATAGTTTATAAAAGTACAGAATAAAACCAACTTTTTTACATCATATTTAAGTGAAGCTATCAGTTACATTTTTTAAAGAAATACATTTTATGAAGGAAGGTGCTGATCTTATTTTTTTTCCTTTTTGATCAATTTAGAAGAGAAACAGCAAACCACGCTCACAGAATGGTACTCGGCACAGGAGAATACGTTCAAGCCTGAGTCTCAAAGGCAGAGAGCCGTTCCCAGTGTGACTGAAGAGTACGACGTACTGGATGATGGTGGTGATGCAGTCTTCAGTCAGTTGGTGAGAACTTAACTGGCTTCAGGATGATATTTCAAGTGAAGATAGTATGGTCACACCTGTGAGTGGGTGATTGGTTCACTTCGTAACTGAAAAGTAATTCTCTTAGTTTATGTAAGACTACAACATATTTTTCAAAACAGCCTTTTCTTTTTGTTATTTTGTTGGATATTTTTCAAAACAGCCTTTTCTTTTTGTTATTTTGTTGGCTGGGTATTGAAAGGACCTTATAAGCACTCTATTCCTGAACTATGTACACCCTGGTGTTAACATAATAATACAACCCTTTGTTCTTAAAGAAGTTTGTGAACATGAGAAAGTGTATAATACAGATATGCTTACAGTTTTATACTAGTTTTTAAAGTTCTCATGCATACAAGTTAATTATAATTAGTGGTTCATGCCTGTAATCAATGCTGTTTGAGAGGCAAAATGCAGAAAGAGTGTAGTTTGGGGCCAGCATAGGCAGCAAATTCTCAAGACCCCATCTCAACCAGTACCAGGGCGTTGGTGGTATGTGTGTCTGTCATCCCAGGTATGATGGGAAGCTTAAATAAGATAGTGGTCCAGGTTAACACCAGGCCAAACCTGAGACCTACCTCAGAAATAACCAGAGTGACAAGGGCTGCAGTTGTGGCTCAAGATGTAGAGTGTCTGCCCAGCTAGCGCAGTCATTTGAGTTCAAAATACCAGTACTATCCTATCCCTGTTTCTCTACAAAAGAAGAATGCTTAAAAATTGTTGTTCAGTATAAAGAAAGCACATTTGAGTATGATGAGTCCTGTGACCATGTGTAAACTATGGTTCTTAGGCCTGGCCCACTTTGTATCCTCTGAGGAGGCTTTCAAGCCCTGAGGAATCTAGTCCTTATTAGCAGAGATACTGGTGTTCTTGGAGTGTGACGTGGCCTCGGTGTGATGGGTGATGCTGCTTTTGACATAGCTAGCAGAGGAGGTATATCTAGCAATAGGTTTCAGAAGCACAGTGCTTGAGACTGGGTTATAGCTCTTGGTTTTCAAGCTTGTGCTCAGATAAGAGATGAGTGTAAGAACAATACGGTATGGTGAATGATAATGTTTGTTAGATGAAATCCGTCTCTTGCTGTAACTCAGGAACACCATATGACATACAGTAACACCATGCCGCATGGGTGTGCTTCTTGTGGTCGTTTTTCATTCTTTGCACGCAGTTTGGTAATTCATAATCTTGTTATTTTTTTTTCTTTTTAAAAGACAGAAAAAGATGTGAACTGTCTTGAACCATGGCTAATAAAGGACATGGACTCCTGTCTCTCTGACATATGGCTACATAAAGACATCGATGCTTTTGCTCAGGTCTTCCACCTTATTTTAACTGAAAATGTTAGTGGTGAGTTTACTGGAATTTTTTTATTACTCTTGCTGCTTGTGGTAGAAGTATGGTTTAACAACATTATCATCTATAGTTTTTATTTACAGCCAGTAATTTGTTTTTAGATTACTTATTTTAAATTTGTTAACTTAGGGTCTCCAGAATAGTTACATGAGGTCTGTATATACATGGCATTTATTTACCAAAAATGCCTTTATACTGTGTTGTGTACACATGTACACATATGAGTATTATATTTCTCTCTGTATATTATATGCTCTGATATCCTTACCCTATTCCTTGGAAAGTAATTTCTTGGGTTCACAATGAGATTTATTATGTCAAAGGAAGCAAAACAGTGGGTATCTGGCTGGGCATGGTAGTTCACATCTGTAATCCCAGCTACTTGGGAAGTGGAGATAGGAGGTTCAGGGCCAACACAGGGAAAAGTTATTTGAGACCACATCCCTAAAACAAGCTTGTCATGGTGGCACAGGCCTGTGGTCCCTGCTATCAGGGGATACATTTAGAAGTATTGTGGTCCAAGAACAGCACAGGGTAATCAGGATGGAACTCCATCTGAAAAACGAAGTAAAAGCACAGGACTTGAGGGGATGGCTCAGGTGGATGAGAGCCTGCCTACCAAGAATGAGGTTCTGAATTCCATCCCCAGTATTGGACAGAAAAAATTGGGTCATAACTTTTGCTCAGGATTACTCATTGAGTAAATGAAAGGCTTTAGTTAATTTTATGAGCTCATGTTCGAATTCACATCTAAGTGCATTATGTCCTGTAATGTGCTTTCACTTATGACTTATCCTCATTTTCTTAGTTGATATTAATAACTAGAGTGCATTTCAGAACTTGGTAGCCTTCTAGGCTATGAAAGCTCATAGAAAATCAGTATTGGAGTTGAGATGTTGAGTACTTTACTCATCCAGGCTTTTCAGCATTATTGTAATTATTGCTAACCATTCCTTTTTGAAACATTTTCTGCTACTTCTGAAAATTCATACATGACCTGTGTTCTTTCCATTTCCCTGCATACAACTTGTGGGTTCACTTGGCAGGATATTGTTGTTGTTTTTTTTTCCTGATCTCTTAAGTGTGTAATATCCTAGTCTTCTCACTGATGTCATTTGACAATCTCTAGTTAGATGTCATTAGGTGAGTAAAAACTGGGCATGTCACAAACTTTTTTTTATTTTTGTTACTCATGGGACTTGAACTCAGGGCCTTGGTGCTGTCCCAGAGCGCTTTTGCTCAAGGCTAGCAATCTGCTACTTTGAGCCATAGCATCACTTCTGGTTTGGTTAATTGGAGACAAGAATCTCATAGTTTACTGCCTGAGCTGACTTTGAACCATGATCCTCAGATCTCAACATCCTGAGTAGCTAGGATTACAAGCATGAGCCACTAGCGCTTGGCTACAAGTACTTCATTTTTTTGGGGGGGGGAAGGGGTACTTGTTCTGGGGCTGAATTCAGGTCCTGGATGCTATCCCTGGGCTTCTGTGCTCTACACTGGCACTCTTGAGCCATAGTTCTACTTCTGGCTTTGTGGCCTTTTGGTAGATAATTGGAGGTAAGAGTCTCATAGACTTTCTTGCTTCGGCTTCAAACCTTGATCCTCAGATTTCAGTCTGCTGAGTAGCTAGAATTACATGTACGAACCTGGCCCAAACACTTTTTGATTCCCTCATTACCGCCTTCCTTCCTAGCCTATTCTTTCCTTCTTACTTTCCTTTTTAGTTACTATGACACTAGGCACAAAATCCATCTTTGTCAGTCATGGGGCTTGAACTCAGGGCCATGGACCTTGTAGCCTGTTTGGCTTTGAACCTTGATTCCCAGTTCTCAGCCTCCTTGAGCATCAAGAATTACAGGTGTGAGCTGCCAGCACCTGTCTTACTCCATCCTGTTTTTTTTGTTTTTTTTTCTTTCCATCCTGTTTTAGTAACAGATTTTCTTTCCATCCTTCTTAGTAACAGATTTCCTTGTATGATACAACACAAGGATTATATGCTCTTATATAAAAGGAAGCAAGTCTCAGAATAATGCTGATAGCTAATTCTACCACTTACATTCTCTAAAAAATTAAATAGGTTAAAATACTTGGGATGGGGCTGGGAAGGTGGCTCAGTGGTAGAGTGCCTGCCTTGCATGCATGAAGCCCTGGGTTCGATTCCTCAGCATCACATAAGCAAAAAAAAGAAAAAAAGCTGGAAGTGGCGCTGTAGCTCAAGTGATAGAGCACTAGCCTTGAGCTGAAATGCTGAGGGACAGTGCCCAGGCCCAGAGTTCAGGCCCCACGACCGGACCAAAAAAAAAAAAAATACTTGGGATGTTTACCAGTTTATCTTTTCCTCCCTGTAGTTGATTACAGACATAGTGAGACCAGTGCGACAGCTCTGATGGTTGCTGCTGGACGAGGCTTCACAAGTCAAGTAGAGCAGTTAATCAGCATGGGAGCCAATGTTCATAGTAAAGCGTCAAATGGCTGGTAAGTCTGCAACACCCTGTGCTTTGTCTTTGCAGAGTTTGTCTTTACATGGAAAGGTATCATGTAATAATTGCTGATACGTCTCTACTTGAATGAGTAAATAGTTTTGAGTGACTTTATACTTGTAAGAAAATTATTTCTCATTTTAATGTCTTTGAATTTTGACAGGATGGCTTTAGATTGGGCTAAACACTTTGGACAGACTGAAATTGTGGATCTTCTAGAATCTTACAGGTAAAACATCTTATACTGTTGCTAATTTATCTTCTTTAAAAGAAATATTAGCCATGTAAATCATAGAATGCATAAATGTAGGTTACTGACAGGTATATCCAGTGATTGGGTCTGGTCGTGGGGCTTGAACTCTGGGCCTGGGCGCTGTCCCTCAGCAGCTCTTCAGCTCAAGGCTAGTGCTCTATCACTTGAGCCACAGCGCCACTTCCAGCTTTTTTTTTTTTTGCTTATATGTGGTGCTGAGGAATTGAACCCAGGGCCTCAGACATGCAAGGCAAGCGCTCTACCACTGAGCCACCTTCCCAGCCCTTCAGTGATTTTTTTTTTCTAAATATAAATCATTTCTCTCTGTTTTTCTTTAGATTGTGTATAAGCTCTGTCAATCTTTTTTTTTTTTGGGGGGTCCGGTTGTGGGGCCTGAACTCTGGGCCTAGGCGCTGTCCTTCAGCTCTTCAGCTCAAGGCTACTGCTCTACCACTTGAGCCACAGCGCCTCTTCCGGCTTTTTTCTTTTTGCTTATGTGGTGCTGGGGAATCGAACCCAGGGCCTCAGGCATGCAAGGCAAGCGCTCTACCACTGAGCCATCTTCCCAGCCCTTTATTATGTCAATCTTATTTTGTGTGTGTATGTGTGTGTGTGGAGAGACTTCTCAATCTCAGCTTTTTTGTTTATGGCTGATGGTCTACCACTTGAGCCATGTCTCCAGTTGTAGCTTTTTGCTGATTAATTGGAGACAAGATTCTCATTGACTTTATTGCCTGGGCTGGCTTTGAACTGTGATCCTCAGATCTCAGCCTCTGGAGTAGCCAGGATTATAGGTATAAGCCACCAGATGGAGACTGATCTTATTTTTCATTTTATTGTGAAAAATCAGGAGAGTAATTTCCATTTAAACATAATAGATATAGCCCATGTATTTATATCTGTGTTTCCTCTAACTTCACTAACAGTGATGATGGACGAAAATGCAAGCTGTACACTGACAGATTGGAGGAGGTTGGGCAACTAACGGAAGCAAGGAATGTTTGCACCATATGTTTGGTATCTAGGTAGTGAGCAGGACTAGCAGAACTGCCAGTGAGAAACAAAAACCCACTTTAGTTGTAGAACTCCTTAGCTACCTGTTCTGAAAGAAGAGTTAACAAGATCAGCAGAGTTGGTTAAAATTCTCTTAGGAAAATGAAGAGCTCCAAATTCCCCACTTCATTGCTGTCAGATGACATTCCAGTGCCTGCCTTATGTAGACGTTTAAAAAATTGACAGATACATGTGGATTTATTTTTATCAATTTATCTTGTGTATACCTGGGGATGGAATTACTGGGGAGTATGGTAATTTTGTTTACCATTTTAGGAACTGCCAAAGAAACTGCTTTTCCAAATCAGCTATATTAACTACTCTCCTAGCAGGAATGTCAGAGGCTTCTCCTCTCCTCTCCCTCCCCTCCTTTCTCTCTCCCTCTTTGTCTCTCCCTCTCTCTGTCTCTTCCTCATTCTCCCTCTTTCTTTCCCTGTCTACCCCTCTCCATGTCCCTCCCTTCCCTCTCTCCCTTCCCTTCCATTTTTCTTCACTTATATGACATTTTGACGGTGGCCATTGATTGCTACTGCCTAGAAAGGAGTATCATTGTGGTTCTCATCTGATGACGATGTTAAATATCTTTCTATGTGCTTATAGGTCATTAGTATCTTTCCTTTGGAGAAGTATCTACAGATTGGAATTTTCTTTTTTCTTTTTTCTTTTTTTTGTCGGTCGTGGGGCTTGAACTCTAGGCCTGAGTGCTGTCCCTCAGCTCTTCAGCTCAAGGCTAGCACTCTACCACTTGAGCTACAGCGCCACTTTCGGTTTTCTGGTGATTTTTATTGGAGATAAGAGTTTGACAGAGTTTCCTGCTAGGGCTGGCTTTGAACCGCAATCCTCAGATCTCAGCCTCCTGAGTAGCTAGGATTACAGGTGTGAGCCACCGGCGCCCGGCCAGATTGGAATTTTGTAAAAAGTACTTATTGCTGAATTTTGCCTGAAAAATGTCTTTGAAACTAAAACGTAAATCCATATTACATCACATGATATCACTTACTCTCCTTAGATGTATTGAATATTTGAAAGACAAAGAGAAGTATTGGCTTTAAAGATTACGCTGTGTGAAAAACACTGACTTGTGCCAAGGCACCAGTGGCTCATGCCTGTAATCCTAGCTACTCGGGAGGCTGAGATCTAAGGATCACAGTTTGAAGCCAGCCTGGGCAAAAAAGTCCCTGTGAGACTCTTATCTCCAAAAAACCACTCAAAAACCCAAGTGGCCCAGTGGCTCAAGGTAGAGTGCTAGCTTTGAGTACAAATAGGCTCAGGGCCAGGGCCCTGAGTTCAAGCCTCAGAATTGGTTGGTAAAGAAGAAAAACACTGATGTCTCTCTCTCTCTCTCTCTCTTTCTCTTTTTAAGTGCTTCATTGGAGTTTGGCAATCTAGATGAAAGTTCTCTAGTCCAAACAAATGGAAATGACCTCAGTGCAGAAGACAGAGAGCTCTTGAAGGCTTACCATCACAGTTTTGATGATGAGAAAGTAGACTTGGATTTGATCATGCATCTTCTATACAATATCTGTCATAGTTGTGATGCTGGTAAGTCCTATCTTCAAGAACTGGATCTAATTGGGGTTTTTTTTCATTGGAAATTAGTGTTGGATTGTACAAGTCTTTGTATAATTGCATTGAAAAAAGTCCATGGATTATAATTTATGACAGGTGATCAGTGTTTGAAAACACATGAAGTAATTCCATACAATTAGTTGTTTCGATTGCTGTTAATTTCACAAGATTTGATATTAAAAAAAATTATTCTCCAAGGTGCGGTCCTAATTTTTCTGCCTGGATATGATGAAATAGTTGGTCTCAGGGATCGCATCCTGTTTGATGACAAGCGGTTTGCTGACAATACACATAGGTAAAATCTAAAGCTTTATACTTGTTGCTTCGAATAACAGACTCGAACTGTAGTACATTTTCTCTTTCAATTGTCAATAGATATCAAGTCTTTATGCTTCATTCAAATATGCAAACATCTGATCAAAAGAAGGTATTAAAAAACCCACCTGCAGGTGTTCGAAAAATAGTAAGCGTCATAAAACCTTGTTTTTCCCATTTTTTATTAGTCACAATCCATTTTCATATTAATCATAAAGTAATGTTCCATTACAGATCCTTTCCACCAACATTGCTGAAACCAGCATCACTGTCAATGATGTTGTCTTCGTCATTGATTCGGGCAAAGTGAAAGAGGTAGGTTTTGATAAGTTGTTCTTTTCCTTAAATGAAGAAGATAGAGTTTGAGTTTTAGCAAATACTCATACAGAATTGACCTCAGTGGAAAATTTTATTTCTGGACGAATTTAATGTAGTTAATACTGATTTAATGAAAGTGAATATTGTACCTTAAATCAGTATATATGAGCTATTTATTTCAACAAATACATTTTAGCTTCTTCTCACTAAGTACTAGAAAGTCAGTGAAATGTTTTTCGAGTTGTAGTGAAAATTTTGTCAAGAGTGTAGCGTTTTCATGGCATCCCTTTAGTTTTCCTTTTACCTATGGGCGTTGTTGTATCTCCATTGCCTCATGCACAGTTAGGTTGTTGAAAGGATATTCAGTTAGAAAGAACAGTGATGATGGGCTGGGAAGGTGGCTCAGTGGTAGAGAGCTTGCCTTGCATGCTTGAGGCCCTGGGTTCGATTCCTCAGTACCACATAAGCAGAAAAAAAAAGCCGGAAGTGGCACTGTGGCTCAAGTGGTAGAGCGCTAGCCTTGAGCTGAAGAGCTGAGGGACAGCGCCCAGGCCCAGGCCCCACTACTGGACCCAAAAGAAACATGTAGTAGTGTCAAAGTTACTTCACATATAGGGCTAACAAACTTTAGGCTTCTGGGGCTGGGAAGGTGGCTCAGTGGTAGAGCGCTTGCCTTGCATGCCTGAGGCCCTGGGTTCGATTCCTCAGCACCACATAAGCAAAAAGAAAAAAAAAGCCGGAAGTAGCGCTGTGGCTCAAGTGGTAGAGCACTAGCCTTGAGCTGAAGAGCTGAGGGACAGCACCCAGGCCCAGAGTTGAGGCCCCATGACCGGACCCAAAAAATAAATAAAATAAAAACAAATTTTAGGCTTCTGATGGGAAACCTAAAATAGGTGGATTGTAGTTCAGGTGTGTACCTCAGCAAAAAGCCAGACCCTATCTCAAAAGTAACCAGTACAAAAATAGGCTGGAGCCTGGGCTTAGTGGTAGACTGCCTGCCTGGGATGAGGCCTGGGTTCAAACCCCACTCTTACCTCATCAACAAAGCAATATAGTCCAGGCGCCAGTGTCTCAGGCCTGTCATCCTAGCTACTTAGGAGGCTGAAATCTGAGGATCGCAGTTCAAAACCAGCCCAGGCAGGAAAAGTCCGTGCGACTCTTTATCTCCAATAAACCACTAGAAAACCAGGAGTGGCACTGTGGCTCAAGTTGTAGAGCGCTCGCCTTGAGCTGAAGAGCTGAGGGACAATGCCCAGGCCCAGAGTTCAAGACCCACGACCAACCCAAAGAACAAAAGCAATATATATAACCAGAAAAATCTGGGTTTTTCAAAAATCAGTAGCCTTTTTTAATTTTAATTAAACTAGTATTTAAACTTAGTATGGTAAATAATGTTGATAAAATGTCTTGCTCTTCTTCAATACCTTTGTATTTTAACAAAAATGATCTAAATATTGCAGAAATCCTTTGATGCCTTGAACTTTGTAACAATGTTAAAAATGGTGTGGATTTCCAAAGCTAGTGCTATTCAGCGGAAAGGCAGGTAAGTACATGATTCATGTGCACGCACAAATCACCTGTAAAACGGAAGCATTTTATATGTATGGCATAAATATCATATGTGGCTCCTATAAAAGGTTAGCTTCACATTGGCCTTAATTTTTATGTCCTCTCCGTAAAGCAAGCCATTTTAAATGTCTTTTCAAAAGAAAAGTTCATGTTCAGATTTGAAAATATGTAATATAGCCTTCACTAAGAGGCAAGAAACTTAAACAGAAGCAAAAACTCTATAACATTTGCAATAAAGGACGTGGGCTGATTTCTACTTTAAAATAAAATGAAGATCCAGGTTCCAGTGGCTCACATCTGTAATCCTAGCTATTTAGGAGGCTGAGATCCGAAGGATTTCAGTTCAAGGCCAGCCAAGGCAGAAAAGTCCCATCTCAGGGGCAAAGTTGGGTGAGGTAGAACACAGCTGGGGTAGGAAGTGAGAAACAGAAGGCTCACAGTTAAGTGCTCACCTAGGCAGGAAGCAAGATACGATCTCAGTAGCCAGTGTATTGCCAGCTAGCTGTTCAACAGATAAAAGATCAATATATACAGAACTCAAAAAATAAAACAGCGAAAGAACAAACCGATGCCATTAATAAGTGGGCAAGTGAGCCAAACAGGCAGTTCTCACAAGCAGAAATCAAACGGCTAATAGATACGTGAGCAGATTTTATCACCTTTAGCCATAAAGGAAATGCAAATCAAAACCACTCAAAAAAAATCAAATTTTAAAAAAAGGAACAACAAATGCTGGCAAGGGTATGGGGCAAAAGGAACCCCATACACTGTCAGTGGGAATGTAAACTGGTGAAGTCACTATGAAATCCATATAGAGGTTCCACAAAAAACTAAAAGTAGACTTACCCTATGACCCCGTTACACCACTATTGGGCATATATCCAAAGGAGAGTAAGGTAATTTACCAGGAAGATTCCTGAATATGTATGGTTATGGCAGCTCTGCTCACACTAGCCTAACATTTAAAATCAGGCCAACAACAGATGAATGGATAAAGATGATGTGGGGTATGTGTACATGTGTGGACATATATACACATACAGACACACATTATGGTATATTACATAGCCACAAGGATAAAGGAAATCACATCATTTGTAGGAAAATGGATGCAATTGGAGGAAATATTGAGTGAGACAAGCTAGTCCCCCATAACAAAATATTATATGTTTTCACTCATATGTGGAAGCTAGACCTAAAAGACAGACATTACTACTTTCATTCATAAAAGGGACAGATGAGGGTATCATGGATTGTTATAGCAGTGGTGGAATAAAGTGGATGATAATAAGTATTAAGGTGTGATATCGGGGGTCAGTTGTATGTCTGAGGGCTGGCGGGTAAAGAATAGAGTAGAATCAAGGATGTTAAACAGCTGTCTGTGCCAGACAATTGAGGGTGGTTGGCATTGTTGTGAGACGGGGAAAGTGCAGGTGTTTATGTTGGGAAGAAGTAACTTCCCTGCAATCAGGGAAATGGGGAAAAGACCACCTAGGATAGAAGGAAACCAAAGCAAGGCAGAGAGAAAAGACACGCCTGGAGGGATGGTAGAGCAGAAGTCTGCGGCACCACCTCAGGGAAACATCACCATCCACGGTCCTCCCGGATGACACGGGTCTGTGGGGGTGGGGTAAATGGCAGTGCTGTGTAATGTGCACAACTCGATCACAGTGCCAGGACGTGATGCCTGACAGCAGCTTAGCAAAGCTGACTGAATTTAAGCTGTCAAACAGGTATTCATACTTGGATTTTGAGTTGCTTTCAAGTGTGTGGTACTTCTTTTGTATTTTACCACAATCCTAGAAAGTGTATCAAGAAGGTGGTGTTTATGAATCTCAGTAAATTAAATAATGAGTCCGAGACAAGGAAAAGAATTTGTAGATGCCAAGGCATCTAACTCAGATGTCTTGCTCCTGTTTCATCCTAAATGATACTGCCTTTCTAGTTTATATTCCTTCTACTTTGTTTGAGTTTTAATTTTGTATTTTATTTTTAAGAGCGGGGCGATGTAGACCTGGAATTTGTTTCCGTCTGTTTAGTAGACTACGATTTCAGAATATGTTGGAATTTCAGACTCCAGAACTTTTGAGAATGCCATTACAGGTAGAAACTTACTTAATTCTGAAAGACTTTGGGGGTCTTTGGGTGTGTGGGGGTGAGGGAGGAGAAAGAACATTTCACCTTCTGCCAAGTGGACTTCCAGAAATGGCAAGATGGTAAATATTATAGAAGGTAGATATAGCCAAAACAAAATTCTTTTTCTATGTAGGAAAAGTTAATAACCTTTAAATTTTTAAAGTTACTGGAGTTCATTTAAGTTATGGGATACTTATTAGTGTTATTTTGTAATGTAGCATGTTAAGAATCATAGCTGCCAGTGTTGACCTTGAAAATGCTCAGCAAAGGAGAAATTAGATTTTTTAAGTTCCCAAACCGGAAGAAGTGGCAAAACTAATTGTACAACAGCACTATCATTTCAGAAGTTCTGGAACACAGTCTAGCCCTTACTGTTTTTCTTGAAGTTTAACAGTCATCCACTGTGTAGTTTCCAGGGAGGACTACCAAAAGTTTATCAATTTAATTCTTTACTGTATTAGGCTCGATGCTTGCTTCCACATGTGTAAGAGATACAAAATCATGTTTTTGGCATCCAGGTACCTAATAGGATTTCCCACTTCCTCTGTGAGATTAAAAATATTTTTTTTTTCTGAGTTGGAGCTGAAAATTCTTAACAGGAGACTAAATTACCGGCTCTTTCCTGTGTGTGCAGCTTTATTGCTTGCTTTCCCGCTTGTCCCATAAAAATAAGAATGAGTAGCTTTAGTTTCTTGAGCACATCTTGTATATCTGTCTCTGTATTTCTTACCCTTGCTTTTATGATAACTACTCATTCTTCACCTCTTAAAACATCATGGACTTCCCTTTCTGTTCTTTGCTGAGCTTGATAAGTCTCCTTTTATCTGGTTGGTTCCTGGTACCCTCTTACAGCACTTAACTAGTTGTGGTTGGCAAATGATTAGTTGTTCAGGTATGTTTTTGATGTTAAAACAGTAACTCCATGAGGGCAGGCGTTTGTCCTCTTACTTTTCTCCAACTTGCTTCTTCAGGCCTTGCATCTAGAAAGCACTTACGTATTAGTCGGCTGGTTAAAAGGTTCTAGAGCATGTGGTAGTGAAAAGGGGAAAGGGGGAATGACCTTTGGGGAGTAACTCTGGGGGTCGTTTGCAAGGACTGCATGAGGAGGTGGCCAGAGGAGGCCATGGTCATTTGGGTCTGAGCTGACTGAAGATGATTACCCAAGGCAAAGAATGAGTCCAGGTTTCACCGAGAGACAGTGTTGGCTCTGCTGTGTGCTCTAACCAAGAACACTGGTCAGTGTTTAGGAACACATGATTTCTTGAAAAATAACAGCATTCCAGTCATTTTAATTTAATTTTTTGCTGCTTTAATGTTTAGGAGCTTTGTTTACACACCAAGCTGTTAGCCCCAGTGAATTGCACCATTGCTGATTTCCTGATGAAAGCCCCCGAACCTCCGCCAGCTTTAATTGTAAGAAATGCAGTACAGATGCTTAAGGTTGGTGTCCTCATCACTTGGCTCACCTGACTCACTGTTTTACCTGAACATTGAAACCAAATGAGAATATGTCTTTGTTTCTGAAAAAAAATTCCTTAGTTGATCATGTACTTTAAAATCATACTTTTATAATTAATAGGTAAAGTAGCAGGTATAATGCTAAAGTAGCTGCCATATTTTATGAGATTTCTCAGATTTTGTTTTTTAAGCAAGCAGCTTTTGGACATGTCAAAATCTCTCTTCCGTGTTAGACAATAGATGCCATGGACGCCTGGGAAGATCTGACGGAACTCGGGTATCATTTGGCTGACTTGCCAGTAGAGCCCCATCTTGGCAAGATGGTCCTGTGTGCTGTTGTTCTGAAGTGTCTGGACCCCATCCTTACAATTGCCTGCACACTAGCGTACCGGGACCCTTTCGTTCTGCCAACGCAGGCCTCTCAAAAGCGAGCGGCCATGCTCTGCCGGAAGCGCTTCACTGCGGGCACCTTCAGTGACCACATGGCTCTTCTCAGAGCATTCCAGGTACTTCACTGCCTTTCCTTCCTGCAGGTGCTGGTGAGCTCATCCACTCCTGCAGGTGCTGGTGAACACTCTTTCAGTCAGTGTCAACCATAAGAAGCAAACAAATAATGATGGCAGTTCCATTAAGTTTGCTTTCTTTATGAAGTCACATCTTTTTAGTAGTTTAGAAAAAATACCTGCTTGCTGTTAGTATGTTAAAATTATCACAATATTTTTCTATTGTATTTTTCCCTCATTTTTTTCTTATAGGAATATGTGTGTGTGCTTATATTTACTTATATTCTTGTAGTTATTTTTTGGATAATGAATTCCTTATATTTGAATCATGTCTTGGGCAAGGAAGGCTGTAAAATTTTAATTTAGACCCCTTGTATATTAAAGATACAGAACAGAGCTTGAATAAGAATTACCTTGAATTTTAGTAAAGTACAACAGGACTTACTTGTAATCCCAGCATTTGAAGGTGAGCCTAAATAATCATGAGCTCAGGTCCAGGTTGGGATATATAAAATGAAAACCCACCTCAAAGAACAAAACAAAAGCCAGGCATTGGGGGCTCACACCTGTAATCCTAGCTACTCAGTAGGCTGAGACCTGGGGATCCTGGTTCAAAGTCAGCCCAGACAGGAAAGTCCATGAGACTCTTATCTCTGATTTACCACCAAAAAGCCAGAAGTAGAGCTGTGGCTTGAATTTGAAATCAAATTTTCTGATTGGGTTTTTTTTTTTTTTTGGGTCAGTCGTGGGACTTGAACTCTGGGCTTGGGTGCTATCCCTCAGCTCTTCAGCTCAAGGTGAGCGCACTACCGCTTGAGCCACAGCGCCACTTCCGGTTTTCTAGTGGTTTATTGGAGATGAGTCTCACAGACTTTCCTGCTCGGGCTGGCTTTGAACCTTGATCCTCAGATCTCAGCCACCTGAGAAGCTAGGATTATAGGCATGAGCCACTGGTGCCCAGCTTGGTTTTTTTTTTTTTTTTAAACTGTTTTCTTGAAAACTCAAGACACTATGCCAAGAATTTAATTTTTTTTTTTTTTTTTTTTTGCCAGCCCAGGGGCTTGAGCTCAGTGCCTGAGCATTGTCCTTGAGCCTCTTTGTACTCAAGGCTAGCACTCTACCACTTGAGCCACAGCACCACTTATAGCTTTTTCTGAGTACTTTATTGGAGAGAGAAGAGTCTTACAGACTTTTCTGCCCAGGCTGGCTTTGAACCTCAGTCCTTGGATCTCAGCCTCCTGAGTAGCTAGGATTATACATGTGAGCTACCGGCACCTGGCTGGACAGCTTCTTAATACTTAAACTCTCTTGAATGTCTTATAGACATATAGTTTTAAATTTTCTCTCTTCATTTATAGAAAAAGTACTCTTCAAATATATAGGATATTTCCAATATGTATATAATGTTAAAAAGTAATTGTGAGTTCTTCTATACTATTGAGTAGTGGATGACTCACTGTAACTAATTGGGCTGAAAACTTCCCACATTTTTGTGCAATAGAATCACCTTTAAGATCTGAGAAGGTATTGCTTTACAAAGCTGGTCCTTTAGGTTACTGACATTTAGTTTTCATTGGGATTTTACAGAAGCAGCAGTTGAGTACATTTGAGTATATATTAACTAATGGTAAATTCTGTTTGATCATGAAGTCTTAGAGTAGTTGAAAAGTTAGGGTAAGAATTGACTTTTAGTGATGAGGGGAATGTTTTCAGCTTGTTTCTTGATCAGAAAGTGATTGGTGTGTCATTGTTCTGTTTTTGTAGGCATGGCAGAAAGCACGGAGTGATGGATGGGAGCGAGCCTTCTGTGAAAAGAACTTTCTTTCACAAGCCACCATGGAAATAATTATAGGAATGAGAACACAGCTGCTCGGTCAGCTTAGAGCATCAGGTACAGATCCTTCCCAAGGAGTCTGTGTTAACTACAGTACCCAGCTTGTTCCTTATCATATGACATTTGTAGTGTCAACTGATGCCAGCCTCTGTTACTTTATAATACTGTTTATGAGCTGATTTATAGACATCCATGTGACCTCAACATTCACTTGATGAAAAAGATGATATCGCAGAAGATGTAGTAGAGAAATGTGTGAATAGAATCTATATTTTTTGATACTCAGCTATTTACACTGTAGTTGTTGGTAAAGATTACTTTGTATTCTTTTTTTGATTAATGGTTTTTTGTTGTTGTTGTTTGTTTGGTTTGGTTTGGTTTGGTTTTTCGGTTGTGGGGCTTGAACTCTGGTCCTGGGCTCTGTTCCTGATCTCTTCAGCTCCAGGTGAGTGCTCTACCACTTGAGCCACAGCCCCACTTCTGGTTTTCTGGGGTGGTTCATTGGAGATCAGAGTCTCATGGACTTTCCTGCCCAGGCTGGCTTTGAACCACGATCCTCAGATCTCATCCTTCTGAGTAGTTAGGATTAAAGGCGTGAGCCACCCGACACCCCGCAGGCTAATTATTATTTTTAATTCTGAAAGGAACAGTGTAAAACTTTAAGTAGATTGATAGGAGAGGTGTTCCTTAAAGTATGTTTTGAATTCTGAAACAAATACAAGTTATTTGAAGGTTGCTGATTCTTTTCTACAAGGGGATTTTAATGTTATTGTTACCTTCTAGAATCACTTCCTTGATTTCTTTTCCCCCCAGTAACATAGTACATTGAAGTGCTAGTCAAAAGAAAAACACTAGAGCCTGGATTCATGTATTAGCTGAACTACAAAAGTAAGAGAAGAAAAGGACTGGAGGATTTAGAGTTGTCTCAAATGTTGGGAAATATGAAAAATTATTGAAATTTGAGTGAGCATATGTTTGTTTTCCATAAGTAATGTTTCATAAAACATTAACACCATTCAGAAGGATTGTTTGGGTTTCTTGCTGTGACCTTAGTATACTTCTGATAGCAGCTGACAGAGCACTTTATTGCAATAATGTGCGCTTAGAGCTGGGTGTGGTGGTGTATACCTGTGGTCCTAGTGTTCAGGAGGCTGAGCTAGGAGGGCCATGAGTTCAACACCAGTCTTAACTGCAAAGTGAGATCCTGTCTCAAAAAAATATACAATTTTAAAAGGTTCTTAAACCACTGATAAATAGGGTACTTAATCTAAGTTTGAGCAGATGTAGCTCTCAAGTTTCCTATCATCTGTATTTTAGACTGTATAGAACAGAATCTGTGAAATATAGGATTTGAGTATCATTAAACCTGTGTGAATCATACTTGGTTTCATGGAAATCACACACTGTTTTTGTTTTGTCTTTTGGGTCTCTAGGTTTTGTTAGAGCGCGAGGTGGTGGTGACATCCGAGATGTTAACACAAACTCCGAGAACTGGGCTGTCGTTAAGGCTGCATTGGTGGCAGGCATGTATCCTAATTTAGTCCATGTGGACAGAGAGAATGTAGTACTGACAGGGCCAAAGGAGAAAAAAGTACGATTTCATCCCACCTCAGTTCTCAGTCAGCCTCAATATAAAAAGGTAAAACATTTTCAATGCCTTGACATGAAGTCAGTTTAGGTAGTTGAAGATCAACAACAAAAAAATACTCCCAAATATCTGTCTGCTTCAAGAGATTGATTAGTTCTGTACATGTAATAAAACATTGAAACAAAACTTTTGTTAAATCTTAAAATGTTAGAGGAGGTAAAATTATAATAGTAATAACTTTAATTTTTGCTTGGGTACTAATTAATTACGTACTACTGGTTACATCAAGAGACTTTGCCAGGCACCGGTGGCTCAGGCCTGTCATCCTAGCTACTCAGGAGGCTGAGATCTGAGGATCATGGTTCAAAGCCAGCTGGGGCAGGAAAGTCCATGAGATTCTTACCTCCAGTGAACCACCACCAGAAAACCGGAAGTGGCGCTGTGGCTCAAGTGGTAGAGCGCTCGCCTTGAGCTGAAGAGCTGAGGGACAGCGCCCAGGCCCAGAGTTC